CCCCCCCCCCCCCTTAATCCGCGCCTGCTTTTGTGAATGGTAATCGTCTTGCTAGTGTGCTGGTTATATTTATTAAAAGCCCGTCCGCATAGCATCAATCCGACAATTTGGCTCTAAAAACAGAACGCTCCTTGTGTTCAAGCGTCAGAAAGACCTGGCACACAGACAAAACAAACACCTACACTACACACGTGTAATCGTAAGGTTAAAATCTAGGGCATTTATCGAGCTGATATTACCAACGTGAGACCCGAGCAGGTGGTGTACTACAGCATGTCCTGAACTCGTTAGTGGTAATGTATATCGTATTTTTATGTAATTATATAATGAGTATGCGCGTATGTCATATTGCAATGTACAGTGTATGCTGTTCAGTGTTAGCCGGCGCTGTGACGTATTACTGTAAACACCCGGTATGTGGTCAGCTGGTGGTCACGTTACCCTGTTCTCGTGTGTAGTCAAGCAAGTATACATGCATGTATATATATACGAAAACGTCACACAATAACGTACATGCATCTGATGTAAACACGGACATTTCGCTTCAGTGAGTCCGTTAAATATACCACGTAGGTTTTAACGACCTGCGGTACATTTCGCTTCAGTGAGTCCGTTAAAAATACCCCATAGTCAAGCTTGACTGGGTGCCTCGCTAACGCGCACAGTCATTGTGAAGTGTGCTATCAAGCGCGAGCTTCAGACCACTCGCTCTCCCAAGAATTTCGGTTCGATCCCCGTCGGTGGTGTAAAAAAGAGAGTGATGTCTGATTGGGTAAGTTGTTATCCCTCCGATGGCACGGTGGTTTCCCCTCGTGGGTTTTCCTCCACCACGAAAACACCATTTGTTCCCTTAGCGGCGCCCTAATAAAAGCTCTACAGAGCTTATGTTTGTTGTTGACAATTATTATTTTAGTTTTTAATGACCTGCGGTACATTTCGCTTCAGTGAGTCCGTTAAATATACCCCATAGGTTTTAATGACCTGCGGTACTTTATCACCAGTCGGTACACCGGAAATTGATGTATGAATTTAAAACGTACAGAAAGTACACAATACTCTGTTTACTTTAAAACATTCTAACGCTGTTCAGCTGAAAGATTGGACACAAGATAATTACATATATATTAACCCTTTCATATCAAATTACAAGCATAAAAAATGTAGATGTGACGAGATCATGATCCATGACAGGCTTATAAATTGTACTACAAGAGTTAACATTTATACGTCAAAATTAAGCCAAACAAAAAATATTGGTGTTTCCGGTAACCCTACCTAACCTGATTTTTCCTCTAAACTGTTTAAGGAACTGTTTTTTCAAAGAAGCACTGTTAAAGTCCAGATCACTTTCCTATATAAACCATATACAACTGTTTGTTAAAATAAAATCTATTACCTACCTATCGATCCTTGATTTGTCAAACATGTTACAGGAAACACATGTTTTTTTTGCCAGGCCTTATTATCGTTTGTGGTCAATATAGATGAGGTCCGACGAGAAATGGTGACGAAATAAAAAGATAGAGAGTAGCCTGTTGGTGTGGCGGTGATTCATGGGAAAAACGGATACTGATTTTTAAAATCTATAGGCCTCTGATATGTATGTAGCGGAACTGCACTGGGTCGATCGTTGGCAACCAGATAGCTCAAATGGTAGCCCGGGTTCGAACCTTGGTCTGACCGTGTATTTTTACTGTCCTGATACATTTGGCGCCCAACGAAATATATCCACAGAAGGTGGCATAGGGTCTCGTGTGTCTTCGGGGTCGTCACAGGAAGGTCCACAGGAACCATTTGTAACAGAAAAGGGGGAAGTAAGCTTCCACCTGGAATCGAACCAGTTGCACTCAGCTTCCCAACATCAACCCAGGTTCTAACTCCCTGTCACCACCGGAAGGGCCACGGACACCATTTGTAACAGAAAAGAGGGAAGTAAGTTTCCACCTGGAATCGAACCAGCGACACCCAGCTTTCAAGTCTGCCACTCTAATGTTGAGCTAAAGGGGAATTCCCTCTAGTGCCGATCTAGAAGTAGTTCAAATTATTCTCACGTTTTATCAACATTTTTTATATCGGTCTGTCAGTGACGACAGACCGATATAAAAAAGTCAATTAAACGTCAGAATAATTCGGACTAAGCTAGAAGGTGACCGTACTACTGTGTACTCAGGATCTGACACACGTGTAAGTCGAACTGGTTTCTCTCAGCGGATGTAGTCATGTGACGGTTTATTTCTGTGTCCAATTGTGTTTGTTCAATGTGATTCTGTATTAACTATAAACATGAAGAGTCCGTCCCAATGTTATTCTGTATTAACTATAAACATGAAGAGTCCACCCCAATGTTATTCTGTCTGTATTAACTATAAACATGAAGAGTCCATCCCAATGTTATTCTGTCTGTATTAACTATAAACATGAAGAGTCCACCCCAATCTTTCGATGTCCATCAGCTTAGAACGGATTTGAGATTAGGAAGTACACCTTACATGTTTGAATTCCGCAGTACGCGATTGGTCAATCAATAACCGAAAATAACCAGGCAGTTTCTGATTGGGTATCACGTTCAAGTGTAATTACAATTCCGCTGTACAGCCCTTCAATAAACCTACCAACAAGAGAAAGGGTTTTAATGCAAAAAAAGAAGAGAACTATTCGGGTCTTTCCTAAAACTGTTTCGGTCCAGTAACGGCGTGGCATCAACTTGAAATTATTAAGGAGTTCTCCGAATGATTTGAAACCGGTTATCTTTGAAAAAAAACGACGTTATTCGGTAACTTGAAACACAGATTGATAAGAGTGTTTTAAACTGTAGAAAGTACCAAGACGGATAGAAGTGTGGTTGTTATGAACGTTACAGTAAGGGTTTCATTAATAGGTTCACATTAGAACTGTAGATGTATCACTATGTCAGCATAAACAAACGTTTACTTGGATTATTTTTAATACTGACCACACGAACCCTACCAAGAACCAAAGGATATCTTTAAGTACTATTTATTCATTATTTATACATGTAGTAATGTTACTTCTCACAAAATATTAAAAAAAAAAGATAATTAACCTAATAGTTTAAATAATGTCGTTGATATATATTTTATTCATACATGTGACAACTATGTGAAACAAGTTTTACCAACTTACATAACCAGTTTGATGGTCCTGAAGAAACCACATGAGATCGGGCAGGCGGTCAGGAACCCACACCCTTCCATGTCCGATCGGGAATCGAACCGCGGACGTTTGGGGCGCCATCCCACTATCGATAAATGTATAGTGTTGATGTGTAGTTTATAGGACCGACCAGTTTCTAAGTCTAAGATATTTTGTGAGAGACATTTTTGGCTTGAGTAGTTAACATATTCACATTATTGCTTTACACGGGCAGTTTGATTTAATATAGATGTATCAGGTTTTCGATCACCCTCGATACTCTAGGGGTTACGCTCACTTTCGCTCTCTGCACCCCTGCAATATTACAGGCTCTGTGTGCACCATCCTCGGTAACCCAAGGGTTACGCTTACTTTACTCTCTGCATAACCCTGGAGTATCGAAGATGGTTTTCGACATGGACGAGGAAAATGCAATTTAATTTCGAGATCCGATGCATTTCAAATTAATATGTATTTTAGAGTTAGATAAAGCATAAAAAGGTAGCATTAATCCACCATATTGATCGTAGTTCCCCGAACATCAAAGAGACGTCACCTAGCTTCACCGTTCGGGGATTGGCTTCGATCAACCGTAATGGCTGTAGCATCTGTTTGATATATTTGCGTATTCACTTATGTATCTGTTTTTGTATCGCTATATATGTCTGTATAATTTGTTTCGTAGTTTTTAAATATTTGTATCGCTATATATGTCTGTATAATTTGTTTCGTAGCTTGATAATGTTTGTATAGGGGTCCTGTGATTTAATTTTGTATCTGTGTAACATATGTTATGTGGTATGATAATGTCTAAATATTAAAAAGAAATGTTTAAAAATAAACGTTAATAGAGTTATTCGAGACAGATGTGGAGAATTAAATAAATATGGTGCGATTGGAATGCAGCTAGCGGAATCACTCTGTCGTTAACGAGAATAACATAAATATAAACTTGAAAGAATTATCGAACAATTAAATTCAACTTAAAATCAATCACTCTTGTTGGCCCGGATGTAACCGTGAGGTCTTAATGTGGACATAAACCGGAGTTCCCTGAGAAAACCAACGTGGTCGGGCAGGTGAGCCCATAACATTTCACGTCCGATTGGGGAATCGAACCCCGGCCGCCTTGGTGATAGGCGAGTACGAATTAACGGGAGTTCATTTAGTGTACGTCGAAACATCATTTGACGTTTATGGAACGTCCTGGAACCATCAATATTGTGTGTGATCTCTCGAGCTGCAGTGACTGCACGGTTTCTTTGCACTGAATCGATCAAGCATTGGTCGTCCTCATTAGTATACGGCTCCATTCATATCAACGCCAACAGATCGATCAGAACGTTTAGTCAGCGTCCTATCGTTTTGTTAAACCCGTCCTATAAATATCCTATCTGAGAGCGGTAAGTGCAGAATGGAAGCCATTCTAAGTCGAGGTCAAAAAATCACGACATATGAGACCGCGCGTTGTCCTGCTGGTACGTTAGTTGCTGCTACTGAACCAGTGGCCACATGCGCGACTCTATCACCCGGCTTCTGTTACAGACGGTCTTGAGATTTCTCTGCATTTAGTTAAGGTAGTCTCCATACCATGTGCAAATCTTCCAATATGTGCATTGCAGAGTTTCAGAAGTCGCACTTTCATGTCCTGATAACGCGTTGCCAAACAACGGCGACCGATTCGGAAACGGTCTGCAACCCGCCCTGTAACACGGGGTCTTCGGAAGAGACAGCCAATGGTGGATTGATGGACTCAAATCGGATAAGGGATATGACATTGTCTTCTATAGCCATGCTCTGACGCGATCATTGTCAACGTCGGAAAGGTGTGGCATTCTGTGTTTAAATCAATATGAATGGGTAAAGACTTCGTTTATTTACCATGTATTTCCCGTCATTGTTTTTTGCGATAGCGTAATAATGCAGCTCCGACATACCTAGCTTGTATATATAGGATGCGTCGTTTAACATGATAACATCGCGTAATAAATGTACGCCCCACTTGTGTTCAATAATACAGAAGTATGGAAACACCAGTATGCGTGAGAATATAGGGATATACATTTGATTACAAAGAGGCATAGGGATATTAGAAGATAAAAGGTAAACAATGTGTGGCAGGTTTTAATTGTTCATAGGATTACGGTCGCCTTTTAGCTTCTCGCTAGAGGGAATTCCCCTTAAGCTCAGTTGTAGAGCGGCCGACTAGGAAGTGTGCATGGGATCGCGGGTTCGATCCGTTGGAAGCATACTTTAGAGTGTGCCCTGTTTCCTGTTACAAATGGTGTACGTGGCCCTCACTGTTGTGGCAGGGATTTAGAACTGGGTTATCGTATCGAGGATGGGTTGTGGTGTCCGAGGTCAAACATATTTTAAAAGGGTGGAGTAGTGTGGCAGATTGTAATTGTGCATAGGATTACGGTCGCCTACTAGCTTCGAGCTAGAGGGAATTTCCCTTTATCTCAGTGATAGGGCGTCCGACTAGGAACCTATAGGTATCGCCGGTGGAAGCACACTAGTCTTTTTCCTGTTACACAAGGTATTTAAATATAAATCATCGAATTGCGAACAGGCGTGAGAATACAAACACGGGAACAATTACAGCTAAAAGGCATGTGAAAACAATGAAAGCTATACAGAGGCACTTCACGGAGGCAGGAACTATGCATAACGTTGCTTCGCTTTAGACTGTAGCATACTTTTGCATTAGACTAGTATCATTTTGCTTTAGGCTGTTTCTATAATCGTATCCGCTGTTTCAAGCAACAATTACACGATTAAAATTGATTTTTTTTACAGTGTTCCGTTGGACATATCTAAACACAAATGACACCAGTGCGAGGCATCATGACTGACGACTGAGAATGGAGGATAACCCCACACGAAGGCTGCCCCCTACTGATGGGGGCTGGGGTTGGATAGTGGTGCTAGGTTTGTAGATTCATTTAAAACAATTATGAAACAAATTATATCAACTTATATAAATCACCATTGTAAAAAGCCCGGATGTGAGCGCGCACCCTGCGGGAGGAAGCCGGAGTATCCGGAGAAAACCTATATGGTCGGGCAAGTGACCTCATACCTTTTCACGTCAGATCGTGGAATCGAACCCCGGCCGCCTGGGTAAAAAGCAAATGTGCTATCTACTCCGCCACCCGACCATCCTATTGTTTGTATTTGTACCTACAGTACCAGTGTAATAATGAGGATGATGGTAGATTATTTCTCTGGCATTGTAACGTGTATGTGGGTCAGAGTAAAATGGATCTATTTAGGTTGTGTGTGTCAAGTATGTGTGAGGGTTTAAACCTATATTTACAAAACATGAAGAGTATGATGAAATAACTATTGAATGGAAGCACTCGGTAGCACTTCCTTCTTAGAAAATGTTGAAGGCACCATCCCACCAGATTCTACTCTGGACCTATATACATGAAATCGTTTTCGTGATCAAGCATAAATTCTTTCTTGTAATTCGCTCAGATGAGTGACACCATACAAAAGTCGTTATAAAATTTCAACATTGCTCAGCTTTCAGTCTCTCCAAAATAATTCCAAATCGTAGACAAAATATTATTTTTATTAATTTATCGCCGGAACAAGAAATTAGGAACCTGGAAGCTCCTCCTTATAACCTTTCTCTAGTATGTGTAACACTTCCTCGGTCCCTTCTCTGCTAACTCCCAGTCAGGTCCATTTTTGCCTCTGTGCTAATTTCTATTCTCCACAAGCCAATCGTCAATAGGGCTACCAAAGAATCTCAAAAGTTTAAACGATTAACGTTTCTCACAAAACTGAAAATGTATGTAATATTTTACTGTTTTCAACGTCAGTGAATATTGAACGAGTTCAAAACGGAAGTTGGTTGAACATTGGTGGGGTTTCTAAACACTCAATGTTCTGTAAGCAGTGCTATAAGTATATATATGTTTTATAAATTGGTCACAGTGGCTTTTAAATAATTAGATTCATTAGCATCATTTTAAATCAATTATAATCAATGGTGGCCGAGAGGTTAAAGCGTCTGACATTCTGCTTCCACTAGCCCTCCAACACTGAGTCGCGAGTGCGAGGCCTACGTGGGGCAGTCGCCCCGGTACGGCATGGCCGTAGGTCGGTGGGTTTTCCCCGGGAACTCCGGCTTTCCTCCGCCACCCAAACCTGGCACGAAAAATGACCATAGCTGTTAATCGGACGTATTACAAACAAGCGAACGCTTTTAAAGCAAATGACGACTGTTTGCTCAAGACAAGTAGTGGGAAGTTTTATCAATTTGTTTCTTTTGGTTCTTATTGCAGTTTGGCGAGACGTTTCTTGATTATTTCTCATGTTTTCTTCAAGGTTTTTTCGGCAGCACCTTTGTGATGGTCGGAATAGCCAAGTCTTTCGGAATCATTCTCCATGAACTGGTGGAGTACTTCGATACGAACGTGGCCCTGGTAGCGGGTGTCATGGGCGTAGAGGGCATAGTATTTACCATAACAGGTACACCGAAACCTCCATAGCTCGGACATCCTTCAAAGAAATAAATCCAAAGTAGTTCATGGTCTGTACTTAACAAAAAAATGTAACAAAATGAATTATGTTTATAATATTGATAATAGAGAAGGTAAATGTTCATTTCCATTATTTTTTTTATCATATTGATGATTTTCATGGAAAACACACGCCGCTTTTTAAATATCTGAAAAGTATCTTTTATGACTTTTTATACCCCGCAATAATTTGTAGGAGGGGGGGGGGGGCATATAGTGTTGCCCATGCACTGAAACTAATTTCACATAGTGACGTAAGGGCATTCATGTCTCACAGACATTTTCTAGTTTATTTACGTTTTTAAAGCAATATATTAGAAAAATTTATGATATAAAGATATGGTAGAGAAGTTAAATATTTCGTGTTTTAGTTTAAACCTTAATAATAGAGAAAGTCTTATTACATTGATATGTATATTATTGTGTATGTATAATTGATGTAATGGACATAAACATTCGGCTTTTTTGTAATTGTTTAATAATCCGTTAATAAGTGGGTCGTTATTTAATAGGATATTTGTGGAAGCAAGTATCGCTGCCTCTATATCCACATCAATATAATTTGAAATACAATGCGGTAAACATAAAATATACCTTATATAAGGCGCTGTATAATCGTACTTCAACTCGAAGATCTTTCCAGAATTTGCCCAAGTTTTTCTCAAAGTCATGAGATGAAATAGCATAAGATTATGTAGGCCTTGGACCAGTTTATCATGTTTTATATTTGGTTTTAGCTCCGTTTTGCCTGGCTTTTGGGCAGCACTACTCCCAGCGTCTAGTTGTGATGGTAGGGGGCGTGGTTGGAGGAGTGGGCGTGTCCCTTTGTTACTTTATGATCAGTATCGAGTACATCATATGTATGTTTGGGATTACGGTCGGTAAGTCACCGGTTATAATACATACTATTAACATGAAAAAAACTTATAATATGAAATACGCAAAATGCAGGCTTTCTGCACGAGATAAAAACAAGATTCATATCCCTTTGCTATGTAGCTTAAAGTCCATTTTAGAATAAATCAAAATGGTTTTTTTACTCGAAAACATTCTTCATCGGCTACAATATCAGTTAACGTGAAAAACTAGATTCAAGGTACCGTGCAGCTATACTTCGCTCTTTTTTCGTTTCGTTATATGAAAAATATAGAAATCACATAATGTGTAATATATCGTTGTGTACAATATACTTATAGTTGTATTATATATATTTTATTATTTCTGCTCCAGGTTTCGCCAACGCCTGTCTGTTCGGTAACGGACTCGTCATTGTAGGCCAGTACTTTGAGAAGCGGCGTTCCATGGCCACAGCTCTCGCTCTAACCGGAGCCAGTGTCGGCCATTTTGCCATCCCTCCGATTCTGCAGATCTTGCTGGATAACTACGGGTTGCATGGTGCATTCCTTATTCAGGGTGGTTTTTACTTAAATATTGCATTCTTCGGGTCACTCTACAGACCGGCTACCGCCGCACACACGAACACGCACATGGAGACCGAAAAAGAGTCCATGTTGACAACAAAGGTGACAGATTCTCCTCGGAAGCGATTTCCAAAAGAACCAACAGATTATTCTCAATCTCATCATATGTTAAATACGTTACCAGAAACGTTGAGGAAACCAAGAATGTCTCTCAGTACAAATGACATTACGGTAGACTTATCCAAACTGGACGTTAGTAAGAAGGTGAACCGGTTCGCATACTTGTCCACTACCGGAAGTCACATGATGGGCTCAATAGAGAGTTTGGGTGTCATGGTGATGACAGAGAATGCTGCACCAGAGCAAGAAGATATAGATACCGGAGGAGGAAAGAAATCGGGGAATCGATTCGTTTTTCCAAAGGTATTCCATTGCACAGTTTTTAAAATGCCAGTTGTAATCCTATATACCGTAGTGATGTTTGTAACGTTTTATGGCTATTTTAGCTTTGTGATATTTATGCCACCAGATGCAGTGACACGTGGGGCATCAAAGTATGAGAAAACATGGCTGGTGTCTTTTTCCGGAATAGGTGACTTTATCGGTCGAGTTTTGATAGGATTAGTCGGTGATCTAGGGTTAATGAAACGGTACAAGATAATGTCGCTAGTCTGTGCGCTCTGTGGGATCAACATAATCCTGTTCGACTTTGCAACCTCGTTCTGGTGGATGGGGACACACGTGTTCCTGTACGGAGTATTCGGAGGGGCATACGTCGCCATCAATGCCGTTGTACTGATTGACCTTGTCGGACTAGAGACGTTACCCAAGGCACTGTCTACAGTTCTGCTGTTTCAGGGAGCCGGGGCAGCAGTCGGTCAACCCATAGAAGGTACAAAATATATAATGATAAGAATGCAAAGAGCATAAATTAGTTGAAATTGCATTGTTTTTAAATTTAAGAAATATATGAAACGTTCTTAGTTACTGTACCTCCTTTGCTACATAAAATCATATTGGTTTACGAGTTACCTCCCTTGCTACATAGATCCACTAACTCACATTCTTTGTCCGGTCCTATTGAATCATGTTTCCGAACTTGCTTTTCTTATGGTATACATTGGAAAGACACGAGTTATTAATTTTGTATATGTATTTGCATTATATATATATATATATATATGTAAATGGTGGTTTGTTAATCCATCTGTACAAAAATACATTTGAAACGAATTTAACGAATTTACAATGCCTCTGTAAGACACGTGGTTAAAATGTCGCATACTTGTTGTCTATAAAGCATGCTTTCTGTTTCAGGTGTTATCCGTGACGTCACTCTGTCATATCACCCTATAAACTACATGAATGGGGCATTTCTACTCATCGGCGCGTTGCTTCTCATCTGCCATCCCATGCTTCTTCGGTTGTGCGAGTCATCGAAACCCTCAAAGAACGGCAATATCCCCATGATAGCTGTAACAGCGACGGAGGATGACATTGGTTAGATGGTCAGCTGACGATGACAGATATATAGAGACCAGAAAAATTGAAGACATCCCAATGTTAGCTGACAATGGAAAAGACCTACCTCTAACAACGCACATTATCTGGACAGACAATCTGAAGCCGGATGAATTTCAGAATTCAATTCACACTCGCTGATAGCATAAAGCAATGTAGAAGATTTACAAATTAAACAACAGAATTATTGATGTATGGAACTTGTAACATTTAAATTTTTATTTCATACCATGAAGTTTAATTTAGGAGAACCCTAGTCATGTGTTTAATTTGTTACAGAGATAACGAGATAGATACTAGATAATGTTTAGCAGTCAATGTTTATTATATATATATAGATAGATTACGAGATACCTTGCCATGTGTTTAATTTGTAACAGAGATAACGAGATAGATAAAATAGAATTGAAAGTATTAAAGCCTTATTATATCACTTAAAAATTACATGATACCTTGTCATGTGTTTGAAGTGCAAATGTCACACGTTTGCTATTTCGCAGCGTTAAACATTAATGCTTTTTTAGAAACAAAAAGATTAAGATACACATGTACAATGCAAGTTGTGGTGTGTTCAGGTAAACTTTTCACGTTTTGATGTTTAAGAGGAAGGTTACACGATTTATTTGTTTAAGTCATATAAATATTAATGACACACTCTTTACTGAAACATATTTACCGCTGAATCAAGTAGCCATTCTGATGCAATGGTTGTGTGTTATTTCTATGTCCACGACAAATTTTAGATGTTGAAATGTGTATATGTAATATAAAAGTATACATTATTTTATGTTTACTTTCATTTAATAATTTCATGACAAGTTTTAGGTTTATGATGAATTGTTCAATATACATTAACCCATTCAATCCTAAAATTTCACAATGAACTTTTCCAACCTTTGAATTGGAAGAGGTCAAATGCGTCTTTAGGGCTGAATAAATTAATGACAACATAGTAGAAACAATTTTAAAATATGCTCATATAATGTGATAGAAATAATACAAGAGTTAATTACTAATTTAATATTGTTAATATCCTCAAAATGACATGACCTATATATATTTAAGATTGCTGATAGTTTTCGTTTCACGTTTTACTACATATGTGTCAGTAAAATATACCATCACATTATTTCAAAACAGGACATGCAGTGTCTATATATTTCATCATGTTTTATATTAAAAAATAATGTCGCTCTACATAAATATTTAAATCATTAAATACAAAGTTATAAACAAAGTATTAACTCATTCACCACTGAAGACACATTTGAGCTCTTCCAATTCAAACGTTGGGAAATTGCAGGGGTGAATGAGTTAATGCTCTTGATGCATACCACGTGACTAATATTTTGTGTCTTACCTTTAGCACAGTAGTGCATCAAGCCCTTACGAAATTAGGATTGAAGCTTGTCTGTGATTTACTTTGTATTGTGAAAATACCATCCTTTTTTAATTGGTTGTGCACATGTTTTTGCAATGATATATATTCAAATGATCTGTGAGATAACCAGATGGTAAATTATGTCTTTATTGTACCGTGTTCATATTTTATGGTGCTCATTTCTGTCGTCCAGAAATGTATTGTGTACTTATATTTTAATGATAATGTTATACCCAGTTTTGATATACATTGTATTTATCGTCCAAGGCATTGGTCCATTACGTGTCACTAGTTTAGCAGGGACATTAGTTTAATATATCGGTTTATATCTGTATCTTCCTTCATTGATTCAACCCAAGATAGTGCCTCAGACATAGACGATGATGATCTGGGCCCGTATTCATAAAACCGTTCTCATGCTCAAGCATGTATCGTGTGCTCAAGGCTTATTTCTTGTTCCGTTTATAATTAATAACAAAAAGTCTTATTTTGTCAATGATTTTTTTTTGGGGGGGGGGGGGGGATGAAGAGACAGACTTAAAGTCAAATATTGTGTTCAGTGTTTACATTTGCATTTTTGATTGTTTGACAAGATTTAAGTTTGTTATAAGAAAGTTCGTTTGAGCACAAAATCCATGCTTGAGCATGAGACAAGTTTCATGAGTACGGGCCCAGAAACGATTTATATTATTCCTTATATTAAATACTAGTCATATGGTCCACTTTTATGTGACGGTCATTTATCTATAAATAAGTTTTCATTTTACGGTAACAATGACAAGGATGTGACAACTATGACATTACGTAACGAAATCGGAACATTCTGATGCCGCGATGCGAAAATTGCGACGCATTCCTGAGGGTTTATAGCTAATTCTACTGATACGAATGAGAGAAAAATATTCTTTCATGCCAAATGGTAAAGGACAGGATAGTTCTTCCCTTGGGAGTTTCAAATCAGTGCAAAGCCCTTCGACAGACACTCGGGTTTTTCTCAATTTGAAAATCCGTTGGTTGGAATTTCAAGTAGCAGTATTAACACATGTAAATACATGTTTACGTATCCCTAAATATTTTGTGTGATAACAAAACCTTAAATTGATTGCTCCCTATTCTATATAGGTTTATACTATTCGACTGTACATGTTGTGTGTCTATATTGTCTGTACACATATGTAAATAATGTTTTGTTTTATTTTAATCTATATGCCTTTTTGAAACTGTATTTCTTTTTTTGTTTAAATCGTTGTCAATGTGTTATATATTATTGTCTGTACACATGACGTCAAATGTTGTTGTTTTCCTTTTAATATTATTTGCTTGTTTGCAAATCACGTTTTGAAATGTTCTTTTATATGTTTTAAGTCATGATAACAGTCAGGATAATATATATATCTTAACCCATTCACCCCTAAAGTCACATTCGAACCTTACTAAATCAACGACTGGACAGGTCCAGTTTATGTATGTAGGGTGTATGTCCAGTTTATGTATGTAGGGGTGTATGTCCAGTTTATGTATGTAGGGGTGTATGACCAGTTTATGTGTGTAGGGGTGTATGTCCAGTTTATGTGTGTAGGGGTGTATGTCCAGTTTATGTATGTAGGGGTGTATGTCCAGTTTATGTGTGTAGGGGTGTATGTCCAGTTTATGTGTGTAGGGGTGTATGTCAAGTTTATGTATGTAGGGGTGAATGTCTAGTTTATGTGTGTAGGGGTGTATAAGCAGTTGCTGTAAGTCAATATCATCGAGTTATTTATAGACCTCTTTATTGATTTGTCAAAAAACTTCTGTTATTAGCTCACCTGGCACTTCGTGCCAGGTGAGCTTATGCCGTGGTGCGGCGTCCGTCATCCGTCCGTCGTCCGTGGTCCGGTGTCAATATTTTACTTTAAACGACTTCTTCTTAATAACCGAAAGGCCTAGGGTGTCGATATTTGGTCAGAAGCAAACTGGGATGAAGGGCTACAAAGTTTGTTAAAATTAATGACCTTCACCTATTTTCAAGGTCACAGGGGTCAAATATGTTAAAAACTTTAAACATCTTCTTCTCGATAACCAAACTGCCCAGGGATATGATATTTGGCCAGTAGCATGCTTGGGTGAAGGGCTATCAAGTTTGTTCAAATGAATGACCTTCAATTATATTCAAGGTCACAGGGGTCAATTGTCTTAAAAAACCTTTAAACAACTTCTTCTGAATAACCAAAATGCCCATGGTCATGATATTTGACCAGTAGCATGCTGAGATAAAAGCTACAAAGTTTGTTCAAATGAATGACCTTCACCAATATTCAAGGTCACAGGGGTCAAATATGTTAAAAACTTTAAACAAATTTTTCTCAATAACCAAAATGCCCAGGGTGATGATATTTAGCCAGTAGCATGCTGGGGTGAAGGGCTATCAAGTTTGTTCAAATGAATGACCTTCAATTATATTCAAGGTCACAGGGGTCAAATATGTGAAAAACATTAAACAACTTCTTCTGAATAACCAAAATGCACAGGGTTATGATATTGAGCCAGTAGCATGCTTGGGTAAAGGGCTATCAAGTTTGTTCAAATAAATGACCTTCAATTATATTCAAGGTCACAGGGGTCAAATATGTGAAAAACATTAAACAACTTCTTCTGAATAACCAAAATGCACAGGGTTATGATATTTGGCCAGTAGCATACTGAGATGAAGGGCTACAAAGTTTGTTCAAATTCATGACCTTCACCCATATTCAAGGTCACAGGGGTCAAATATGTTAAAAACATTAAACANTATTCAAGGTCACAGGGGTCAAATTTGTTTAAAATCTTTAAACGACCTCTTCTGAATAACCATGGGTCCCAGGATGTTGATACTTTGCAAGTTGCATCCTGTGATGAAAGGCTATAAAATTTGTTCAACATAATGACTTTGTTCAACTTTCAATCACAGGGGTGAAATGTTTTTAAAAAAATTAACAGGGTCTTCTGAATGAATTTTAATCATAAATACTGACATTTTGCCTGTAGCTTTATTTTAGATCACTTTTAATGTTATAAGTGTGAGATTTATACCAGGTGAGCGATGCAGGCCCAATGGGCCTCTTGTATCATGTTCCATACTTTGAAATAATCAATTTTCGAGGGATATTTATTTTCGTTGATTTTGTCGACACTCTATTGATAATACAATGGTAGGTGTTCAAGGATGTGTCTGTTAAACAGTGTTCAGTGTGTCTGTTGTCCAGTTTCCATTATTTTGGTCAGACCCCGAATTCATGGGCCAACAAAATATCATATTTGTCAAAACCCAAAAACTTAAGCCCACAAAATAAATGATTCCATATTTATATACCTATTTACAATTAACAACTTAGCTATCTTGCTAAAAAGGCAATCGTTTTATGAACTATTGTATTTTATCGTTTAAATTAGGGGATAGTACGTTGTTTTGAGTGGCTATACTGGCGATTAGAACATGAAATTTGGGGTTGAACCAAATTTGAACCAGATTTCATGTTCTAATCGCCAGTATAGACACGAAAAACAACGAACTATCCCCATTCTAACACACCTTAACAAATATACTACGCTAATATGTTTAGAAACATTGTATTTCCTTGTACAAAAATACGTAATAAAATACTTTGTGACCTGAACTGGCGACGTGTCATTCTGCAGCGGACTGACCAATCAAAAAGAAGCTTTTAAAAGTCGGTCATTTGGCCCCGCCCATACTGGCGAGCGCTCGATCTGTATGTTGACGAGGCGGAATATTTGGATTGTTCGTGAAAGTCCTGTTACCAAAGTTTATACGACACATTTGGATTAATATTGACCAAGTTCTTACATTTCCATGTCAGTATGCATACTAGTCTGACTAGATGCCTTCACACGGATAGAACGAACGTTTCAGTAATAAATGGAGGTGAGATCAAGGAATGTTTACTTTTTACTTTTTAATTCATTCAACAAATACATTTCATCGGTCGTTTTTGTTGTGTTGCCTGCTAGCCTTATCAGCGGGTTTTCGCTAAGAGGCGGTCTTGACGCCATATTGTTTTGGTTACAAACATGGCGTGGCTTAAGTGCGATGGGAGGAGCTTAATACGACTGATCATGATTCTATCGCAGATTAGAACATGGTCAGTATCCAATCAAAACACGCGTTGCAAACGAATCGTGTTAGAATGTGTGATTAAATGAAATATTACGATGAAAATTGTTTTGATTTTTATACTGTATATTATTTTATTTTACAAATCATTTTTGTTCAAATAACAGAGCCGTCCCAAGCTTAAGAGTTTAAGGTACCAGACCACAATGAGTTTTATGTATATTAAATGCCATCTTCTGAGTTCTTCTCTTTCTTTTGTTCAATTTTTGCCACAGTTTTGTCGAATGTGATTTTGAAGTGCGGGTTTTGTCGACACCTTTTTATGCTTGAGTACTTTTTAGTAATAAAGTTGGGCGTTCTTGATTATGTTATTGTTTTACCCAAATAGAGGCAAACTTTTATTTAATGGGAAAAACAATTAAAGTTCGATACTGCCTGGTATCGACCGAAAAAGTCCAACTAAACAGGAAATATGTAAACAAACGTATTTTAATATTGGATTGTTTTTTATTTGTTTTAAATTTTAAATCCAAAAACTAGTTTGATGATTTTACAAATGCTACAAATTCAAGTATTGGAGATATATTTTAATGTGTCAAAGAAGGTTGTACAAATGGACGTAGATTAAGACGTATTTGTTTCAAACTGAGTGTGATTTTACTGTACAAGTTGAAATTTATTGTTAATATGTCGGCACAATGATCGATAATAAACAACTATCGGTACACTTTAG